GGATAATGCAGATGTTTGCGATAGAATATGTTAGCAACTTTTTCTTCTTTTGTGACTTGAATACGTAGTCATTCGGAGCAGCGTTGCTTTCAATTTGCCATGTGAAATATAGCAAGCGACTTTTTTCTTGATATTCGAGCTATTTGAAATTACTGATGTAAATGATATTTAGCAAACTACTAAGATAAAAAATATTGAATAGTATTATAAATGACAAACTCTTGACATTGACTAATTTTTCTTCGTATTTTGTTGTATAGGCTAGGATAGCTTTCCTTCAGGGTGAAAGAAAAGGACAAGAAAATTTGAAGAATGATCTTGTGAGGAGAATAAAAATGTTAGAATATGCGCTTAAGCAAGAAAGGTAAATAAATCATTTATGAATGTACGCATATGATATAACTACAGCAATATTATTTTAAAAAAAATATTTTTAGTTATTTGAATTTTAAAGTACATGTAATATTTAATGTGTGTGTGTGTGTGTAGAGATATTATAATATAAATATATTATATTTTTGTTAATTTTGTAATTATGCACACAAAAACATATACTAAGTCCATAATACAATTATATTAATTAATTGGATATCTATAAATGAGATAAATGCTCTCAACATTGTTATTAAATTATCAGATTATATGTGACTGCATTAGCATATCTATATCTTATAATGACATTCATATAATCTGTCACACAATAACATTAGAATATTGTTTCTTGTAATTTTTACAGAGCAAGGTATCACAAACTAAAATATGGTACCGACTTAGTAATGCAAGGAGATATCAAACCACCTCTTTATGAAGAAGGTACTACGTGCAATATCTCTGAAAGCGGTGGTGGAAGTAGTGGTGGCACTGGTGGTGGCAGTGGTGGAGGAGGAGGTGGAGATGGAGAAGCTTCATTCACATCTGTCAGTAATGTTAGTTGGAGACAAGGCCGTCAGCTTCTAAGGCAGTATGTGTTTTGTTTTTAGAAAAATATAATTTTTAAGTTACTAAGTTAAAAGTTTATTATTATTATTATTATTTATTTATTGCATCATACATAGAAACAAAAAAACTATATAAATATCTGAATTTAATTTTAAAAAAAATTTTGAAGGTAAAAGAAAGAGACTTTATCTCTAAGACTCTTTTTTAGATATTTGCAAGAGATTGGTTATACTGATACAATAATAGATGTACGGTCAAACAGAGTACGATCATTGCTTGGTTTAAACAATAACACAGACACAGAGGAAATTAATACTCCCGCATTAAATGGAAATGAAGGAACAGTACAAGAGAAGTATGAATGTCATGAAAGTCATTTACGTCGGGCAAAACAGCACCCCCAAAAAAAGGTACAGATATGAGTAAATATATTTTTAGATAAATTGACTTAAAAAAAAAAAGCAGTGCTAGCGCTAATTGTAATTTTTTTTTGCGTGTGTGTGTGTGTGTGTGCGTGTGTGTGTGCGCGCGCGCGCGAATGTATGAATAAAAATTTATTATGTGGAAATGTAAAAAATATTGAAATAAATTATAAAAGTATCTAAATATGTTATATATTACAACGTCTATATATAAAAAACATAATATTTTTATTTCAGCAACAGCCATCTTCTATAGCAGAGGCAATGATATTAGACACAGAAGCGGCTGTTATAGCAAATTTTGAATTCTTGGGTCACACAGATATGGATATGGAAGAAGAAGAAGGAGATGTAGAAGATGAAATTTATGATGCAAATACAGATACCAAACCAAATAAAGTAACTGATTATTATTATCTCTATACTTTCATTATATTTCACTTTATGATATATTTATTATCTGTTATAATGTATTATGTATTTATTATATATTGCGTGTTATTGTATTTAATATGACTTTTGTCTTTCTCTTGCAGACATCTATGCCCCTTCTAGGAGAAGATGTTGATACAGATGCAGAGGCGGAAGAGGTATTAAACGAATTAAATCTCCTCACAGAAATTGAAGAATCACCACCTGGTTCTATTCATCTGGAAATGAATTCTTCAGATTGGAGTAAGTAATGTTCTTAATTCATTAATTCATATATTTCAGATTTATATTTCAAATGTATTTCATTTTGAAGTATTTATTTACATATTGGTATCTATTTACATGAGAAACATGCTAATTGTTGTTACTTCCTGCAATTAAATAATCGCGCTTTTGCAGATGCAATAGAAATGCATAGAGGATTACAACTGGATCCAAGACGTCCAAATAAAGAAGGTGATTCCACATTGGAATTAGGAGAGTTAGAACAATTATGTGTTAACAATGATGCAGAAATATCATACGATGTAAGTTGAAAGAATGTTTTCTCAATTTTATGAATTAATATTCAGAGTTAATATTATAATTTATTAATACTTCCAATATGTATTATTATATACAATAGATGGTTTCCACCACAAAAGAGACCTTCAGAAAAACGTGGAATGCAAAATATACATTACGATCGCATTTCGATGCTGTTAGGGCACTTGTCTTCCATCCCACAGATCCAGTTCTTATCACCGCGAGTGATGATCACACGCTGAAATTGTGGAATCTTCATAAGACTGTTCCAGCGAAAAAGTTTGTAAATTCTATTTTGTTGTGAATATGTATATATATATAAATATATTATATTGTTATATTTTTTATCCTCTTATGCAGGTCAGCTTCATTAGATGTAGAACCACTTTACACGTTCAGATCACATACTGGACCTGTATTGTGTCTAGCCATGTGCAGTGCGGGCAATCGATGTTACAGTGGTGGCTTAGATGGCAATATCCATTGCTGGACACTTCCATCAGCTAACATTGATCCATACGATTCGTACGAACCAAGTGTCCTTAGTCACACATTAACAGGACACACAAATGCTGTTTGGGGTTTGAGTATGTACCATCTGCGTCCTACCATGCTGTCGTTCAGCGCAGACGGAACTGTAAAATTATGGGCTCCACAGGCCCCGCAACCTCTTCTCAATACATATGTCTCGGAACAAGGTACACAAATATTATATAACGTTTTAAACTTAAAACGATACACCATTAGATTATTAGAAAGTAGAGCAAGTTTTATGCTAAAATAACACAAAAGTCAAATTCGCAGAACTTTATCTAGCAAATATTGATTGAATGTAAGTTTTTTCTATGTATTGTACATTTGTAGATTATTAAATAATATATGTCATAATAATTTTTTTTTTTATAGATGGCATACCGACTTCAGTTGACTTTATCAGAGACGAGCCGCACAAACTGGTCGTAGCTTATGAAGGAGCTTGTGTGGTATTTGATACTGAAACTGGCGCGATCGTTGCGCGACTCGAGGCAAACGAAACGAAAGGCGTAAATCGCGTTGTAGCGCATCCAACATTACCGCTCGTTGTGGCGGCGCATGAAGATCGGCATATTCGATTTTACGATCACCGGTCAGCTACTCTTGCTCACGCGATGGTGGCGCATTTGGACGCAGTTACTAGTCTCGCTGTAGATCCTCATGGTCTATATTTACTTTCAGGAAGTAAGTACAAAGCCACAGAAAACGATCAATCCTGTTAGAATAACGAAATTTCAAAACGTGAAATAGTCATACTAGTCATACTAATCAAAATTAAATCTTCAAGGTCATGTATTATCGTTTCTAATTTAGTAATTATTATTATCCAGGTCATGATTGCAGTATAAGATTATGGAATATGGATAACAAGACTTGTGTTCAGGAAATAACAGCACATCGGAAGAAATTCGACGAAAGTATTTTAGACGTAGCGTTCCACCCATCACGACCGTTTATAGCGAGCGCTGGCGCCGACGCTCTCGCCAAAGTGTTTGTGTGAAATGTGTAAATCCGAGATACACTTACATCAAAATAATTTCTATTATTACATCAAATCAAGCAGTTTTTGTACTCTTATCCTTTTTTAGATAGCCTTATAACTTTATGTGTCCATCAGCATACATATACAGATACGTATACACATTTCCAATTTCCGTTGTAACTCTGATCGTTCTCTGATCCCTTTTTCCGAGGTACCGGTTTATAAAAGAATCAAATTGATCGTATAGGTATTCATAAGAGGAAATGAAGATTTTATCCGTAACTCTTGTCTGTGACAGTTTATGGAAAAAAAATAATTTTAAATATAAACGCGCTGCTTGTTGATGTTAATCATCATTAAGTAGCCAATACTATTTGGAAAATAGCGGGGAGGGGTCTATCATGTAGAATATTAGCCGATATAGTCCCGATAATTAGAGGAACCAACCCCTTACCCACAGAATCCAGGAAGTACACTGCCGCGGTAGCGTAATATTTATCCTTACGTTAACTATTTATTACCAATATCGCCGTTACTGTTGCACACTGCTACTGGGGATTAATACAATCGTAATAATCGACGATACAGTTGTCCTAACTAAAAAAAAATGCATTAATTAGTCTCCCATTACACATAATTTTTCCTGCTGCCTTATATATTCATCGAGGCTAGCACACAACATAGTAATGATAATAATAATCGTAAGCTAATTATAATAGACATATTATAATAACAATAAATTATATAAAAAATTGTGTGTTTCTCTGTAATATATTGTATTTAAAAATAGATAACTCTCTGTGTAACGTATTATAATGAACATTTTTTTTATTAAAATCTCATTCCATTATTTTCTTATTTTATATGCCCATAAAACGCGAAATTATCCAAATATTATCGGTTGTATACTTTAAGTTAAATTTTTAATTCTTTTTAATTTACCTTGTAAATATAGTATTAAACATTGTGTAATGTAGCGTAATAAAGCGATCGATTATACGTTTCTCGATCCCAAAAGTCATGCTGTCATATGATTACTTCATTTTCTATGCAGTTCCACGTGACTCGAAACGGAGCGGACTTCTCTTTTTTTATTTACAAGAAATGATTTTTTCGGATGATTTTATTTTAAAGACGTATCAAAAAAACATAAAAAAATGGAAATTATTTTTCATATGCTTTTTAAGATTGCATTTTATTGTGGATGCAATTTTATTTCGATCGTGTGATATATAATGCCATCTTTCAGTAACCAATGCAATGTGGATGCACTACTATATTATAATGACTGTCTGAAAAACTTTTTCGCACTCAGATGCGATCACGTTAATCAGCCATAGCGTTTGTACCATACATGTATCGGTGTGATCCCGTGATATTCCTCGTGACTATTTCGACAAAAATCAACGAGAAAATTGTCAATGATCCTAAGAAAATGATAACATTTCGCACACGCGTGCACGCTGTTTTAGGCATGAAAGCGCTTCCAGCTTCTTAAAAATCGTTTATTATTGCACTTTGTAAGTGTTAAATCCTTAAGTTTCATCTCGCGTAAGATGTTGAAAGACGGAGAGAAGAAATTAGTGAAACAATGCGAATTTTTCTATGTGACCCTCACTCGTTTTATCGAAAATTGACAGCATGTTTAATCGTCTAATCCCATAAAATCCTCGAACAGGTTATGCGAGAGATTATGCGCGAATAAAATAGATTGATCTGATTCACTGATTTGAAACGTTGATGAATTACGGTATGTCCTGTATTCTCTTATGAGCATCATCACTTAAAGCCTAAGAATGGAAAGGAATGGTGCTAGAGAGATGGAGGAGCGTAGATGCATTCGAGATACTGGGAAGGCCTTAAAGAAGTATGGGAGTACAGCTAAACACATGACAAGGACCGAGAGTTTAGTGAAACACACGGTGTGTCCTACAGACACCCTCCAAGGAATAGCTCTGAAATATGGAGTTACGGTATGACTTATCTATGTGCATTGTTTTTTCATTTTTATATTTGTTGCCACATTTGTATTTTACTCGATGTTTGATATAACTTGCTTAAGACAATAATCATTGCATTATATAAATGATATCAACTTTTGCAGACAGAACAAATAAGAAGGGTTAATAGATTATGGGCTTCAGATAGTTTATTTTTACGAGAACATTTGCTTATTCCTATTAATACAGATAATTCTGCTGCTATATATAATAATGAATCGATAGCTCCCGAAGAACATGACGTCCCTCCAAATGTAAGTAAAATTTAAAAAGAGGCATAAAAAGCATACATTATTATATTCTATTAAGAATAGGCATGTTTTACAAATATTAATGGGATATTTTGCAGATATCTAGTCCTTCTTCAATATCATCTATTGATGATGAAAGTTCAGTTAACGATTTCTTAGCTAAAATGGATACTTCAATAGCTAATGTCAAGAAAGAAGTCAAACGCGCTCAAGGGAACAGTGAGTAAGTTATTTTCTGTGCTTTATGCAATTTAATTCAAATAAAATTTATATATTTTTAAGCATGCATTATGTATAAAATATCATCTTAATAATTTTAAAAAAGATATAAAAACAAAAACAAACATTTTCACAATCTCTTATTTGCAAATTCAAGTCTAAGCATGTCTATCATAAAAAAAAAACATCTTCATCAATAAATCATTTCATTACAGATTCTGTGCTGATAGTAATGATGTTTACGTACAACGACGGCAAGAATCTGCTAAATTACGAAATTCATTTCCTACTATGTCGAATACTTACTCGACATCCTCCTCTGACTCTGTCAGACCCATGTCCTCTAGTGATATGCATAATTTTCCAACTGCTGTAGTAATGACACAAGGAAAAAAAGTAAAGACTTCCTTACAAAGACTTGAGCAGCAACAAGATGAAATGTTCCAATTGTAGCGTTTAAGTTTCATTGGGTTGTAATATCCTGATTGTCGACTGTTATTAAAAAGCTTGTAGGAAAGGATATACTGTATATCAATGTGATATAGGAGATTGTTTCTCATATTCAATATTAATTGATCCAGTTATAAATTTAATTGAACTGCATTGTCCCTTTTTGATTTTTGCTATCAAAAAATTGTTTGTATTGTTATAGATTTAAGATTAATCTTATATAATGAATGCATCATCATTGTATTTCAACTTTATGATTTTTTTCTTTTTTTTTTTTTTTTTGCCATGATAATATCATATGAATAGGTCAACTAATTTTTATACTGTTTGAACATTACGGTAAACTGTTTCACCAATGTTTAGTGGACCGTATGTGCCTTGAATACAGAAAAAAAATCTCTACATTATATAAAAATATTCTCGATACTTTGTTTTTGTCTAGTTAAATATCTCACATAAAAATTGACATACATTTTCTTACTTTCTTTTTTTTAACTTTATAAAGCACTGTGATAAAATTACAAAAACTAAAAGCAGCTTCATGAAAAATAGCTGCATAATAGAAAAATAGCGCAAAACTACATATACAACTAAATTGTAGAATCTATCTATATGCAATATGACTTTTTTAAACAAATTGTTATATTTGTTATAATAATAATATATATTTTATTTTCTTTTAGCTATCTTATCATAAATTCTTAATCTCTTTTTTTCTTACAATGAAAAACAAATATATAACACATATTTTTGGAATATTAAATATATATGTATAAATGTTATTATTTTGTTTATAGAAATCCTAGCAAGAAGATTATTATCAACAAATTAACAGAAAAGGCAGCAATTCTGACAAAGATATAAAATTATTATAAAATAGTTCCTTTAATTTTAATTCTTAATTGAATTTAAATTTTTTATAAATAATATTCATTTTATTGGTGTATAATATTATTAAAGCATATCTTAAATAGCATCACTCAATTATGTAAATATTATAATCTCCTCACACACACAATTCCAGAAATCATAATTCTTTAAAATATACTATATAAAGAGATCCAGAAGCTAAAAAAGATTTCATTATTTAAACTTCTAATTTTTACAAAAAAAGCGATAAAAATTAGTAACGAATTATTTCTAAAAAAGAATACTTGTATACCTATAGACTTGATATACATTGTATATCATATATATTGTATGTGTGTGTATATATATATATATATATACACACACATACACACAATATATATATGTATCCAATTTTGTACATAATCTAATAAAATTCTATATATTATGCTGTACATATTGTTAATAACAATACTAGTTGATAAAATGGTCTCTAAGATTAATACTTATACAATGTAATTTTATTGTAAAAATATATATAAAATGTTATACATATATATAGATATATATAAATTATATATAAGATGTTATAATCTCTTTGAGGCATTCTCTCTCTCTCTCTTCTCATCATTATATAAATATATTATATAGTCTTAATATGTAAGTTAGGAGAAATATAACTGAATGATATGACTATATAAAAAAGATATAAATTAAATAAAGAATTTAAAAAATATATAATAAATCTTATTTTGCATCACATTGTAACTGTATAAAAAAAACTTGAATTATTCAAAGTGATATATCGATAATCTTCACATGTCATAAAGTACATAGTTTCTATATATTAAAAAAAAATATATATATGGAGATATATTTTACATAATTTCTCTCATATTTTTTTTTAATTTTGAAAATAGTCTTAGAAATACATATAAAAAATAATGATATATATATAGTACAAATATATTCTCTAACAGTTTATTTGTTATGTTATTATTTTATTCTTTCATATAATATATCTATTTTAGAGTTAACTATTCTTATGGGAGGTGTTACATACTTATCGCAGTAACACTTTGTATTACTTACAAAGTTGAAAGATCCTAAGCGACTGTTGCAATACGGACAATGTAATTTACCCTTAGTCCAAGATTCCTGTAAAAACAATTATTTGGTTTAGACTTCATATCAAACGTATTTTTGGAATTTTAATAAGGAAAATATACCTGATTAATAATATTCATAATCCAATCCGGTGCATTTTCTGAAGTCATGTATGAACAGCTATCAGATTTATCTGTCTGACATCCTATATCTATTGGATGCTGCTTTACTTCGTAATGTGCATTAAACAAAATAGAATCACTTTTAAAAAGAGATTTACTACAATGCTTGCATCTCACATCCATGATATACCAAAAACAGATATAATGCAGAGAGTAATTTAAAAATATATACCTAAAGAAAATAATTATCATTATTATTATGTTTTAATATTATTACTAAAAGTAATTGACTGACGAGAAAATTTTATAAAATGTAAGCTAAAAATGCGGAAAGAGAAGCTTATATATTGCAATATATATAATATATTGTAATATATGTTATAAAACTTATAAAAAAAGATAACATTGACAAAACTTACCAAAAAAAGTGTATGCTACTAGTATAGTATATTAATTATTTTACTATTGTAATTATCATTATTTTAATAAGAGATATTATAACTGGAACATATCTTTCTTTACACTCTCTTTAGATGCAATAAAAAAGAAATACAAAATTGCAGCAAAAATATAAATAAGATCTTCTAACTCTCTTCTTACATTTGACACTTGATGCGAATATAACCTGATATAACCTTTATAATCAATGCTGCACAGATGACATATGGACATATCCTTTGCGGAAAAAAAAACGATTATGTTATTATCTATTATCTAAAAGCAAGAAGGAGATTTTTCAATATATTTTATAAAAAAATAATCATTTTTATAAAAATAAAATAATTTGTACTAGTATATTTGTGTGTATAAAGTTGGCATATATTTTATTTCGCTATTGTTACATTAATATAAGTGGTAATGTAAAAATTAAATCCTCAATATATTACTTTTAAATAAAAAATTGTGAAATGCAAGCAGTGTATGAAAAAATACATGTGTGGTTAATATATCTTATAATTATTATAATTGTATCTTAACATAAAATACAAAATATTTTATCATTAAAATGATACATAGTTATAGGTAACACTTGCACATTAGATAACAAATATATTCAATCCTCGCCTGCTGGTATCGCATCTTCTAATCTTTTGACGAATTTTACACGTAATTCGGTTATGTTGTCGTTTTTAAGTTGATCTTGTACAAACCAGCAAGCGATTTCCATTTGCACCATTTCGCAAGCTCCTCTAAGTACACCAGTTAGTATATTACAATACTTCAAGTTTGAACAATTATCTGGTAATTCTACAAATTCCGTTAACGGATTTGTCTCAAAGCATAGAGAGAATTCATCACCAGCTGGGCTCCAATTTGTAATTGATGGTGTTATACCGAGAAATATCTTAAAGCCACTTTGAATCTTTTCTGCTGTATCTCTAAAGTCATAACATCGACCAGAACCAGTCCGTGCTAGAAAATCCTCTATCAGTCGAATTCCTATATTATATCCCATTCTTTCTAATTGCTTGTTAACGTCTTCCACATTTTCATAGTCTTTGATCAATTGGGCAACAAGTGCGCCATAAGTTAGAGTAAATAATTCAGAGTTCTGTAATATAAAATACATACATATATATAAGTAAATTATAAATTAATACTAAATATAAATAAGAGAACAATATTATTTTTTATGATACACACACACAAACTGATACATTAATATTAATTTCTAAAGTTTATGAATTTAAAATTTCAAAATAATCATTAATTTTCATTACTTTTAAGTAATAAGAATACATGTCCATAACCCTTCAAGATTAATTTTATACTTGAAACAAATGTAAAAAATATTATATGACATTTATCTATATTGAATTAATTTTCCAAGGGTGTACGTACAAAACAATGGGATACTTGCCACTTTTTTCGCGTCAAGTTTCGTTCCAGTTCGTGACATTGTTGACAATTGCCCTACGGGACAGTACGTGACGTTAAACTGCTAGCTGATAATTGTTTATTTGAAATATTATTCCCGTCTAAATTTACACAATATAAAGTTCGGAATACATATTAAAGATTACTAAGAGTTGAATATAAAACTTGTAGATTTCTTTGAGTAATTTGTTATTTATTACAAGTGAACATCGGAAGCATTTGAGGTTGAGTTTTTTTCGCGATAAAGTACCTTTATTCTATCTTCCGCTATTCTGGATTTTCCGCAATTCTAAATTATTCTGAATCAGTTATGTCTTATAAACTGTAATTTTCTTTTCATTGATCTCTCATAACACATTTGCTAGATGTTTTACGTAATTATGTAAAATGAATGAATAACAGGGTGCAATTATATTTTTAGTCTATAGTTATAGAACATGATGGTAATGGAGGAGAGATTTCAGAATAGCGAAGAACTCGGTCTTTGACAGTTCCAGAATAGAGGGTTCAACTGTAAATATAAAAACGATTGACTATCGATTTTAATCGAGACATCAATTGAGGATGCGCTCCGTTTGACATTATTGACCAATCAGAGTAAAGAAATTTTTACTCCTTTTATTCTGATTGATCAATCAAATGATTCAAAGCTTTCGTAATGTCAAACAGAACATATCCCAAATCTTCATTATGTCATGTGCGGTCGTGTGCAGTCCTGTGGTCAAATATGTCGATTTGATTTTTGTGAGATAAATTTTATATTTATTTATTTTTTTATTAAAAGATAAAATACATTCTTCTCATGTAGTTTCGGATAAAGTATATCTAATATTCAGTGGCATATAAACTCAGGCAAGTTAATACAAACTTCCATACTCTCTAGAAAAAATATAATGTATATGTCGTCTTTTTATAATACTACATCTCTCGATATATTTGCACATAGAGTTTAATGGAATTGAAGAAAGATAAGAGAAAATAAGTTTTGTGCTATTTACTATGATCTCCAATGTAACTGTTTCTAAAATCTCAATGGGATTTACTACAAGTGCTTCTGACTTTATGTTCTATGTGGTTGTCTTCAAATATATCTTTAATAATATCGCGTTTTGGTTTCGAGTGTGTAGGTAAGCCGCGATATAAATTCTCTGTTATTTGCATTCTGGTTGTGTTGTGATTCTTGAATCCTTGATTTACATATTCAATATTTTCGTTGTCATCAATAGCTTTCATTGTAGCCAATAGCTTTTCTTTATCATAATTAATTACTTTCTTTTTATCATTTATCTGTTTATTGTCTATTTGCTCAGCTTTTGTGCTATTACTCTGTTCAGTCTGATGCGACTGAACATTATTGGATAATGTATTAACATTCTCTGCTTCCAATGAAGCATTCAATTTATTTTTTGTTTTTATATGAAAATTATTTTTGTTTAATGTTTCTTCATTGCTTTGATGTATTACACTTGGCGTTTCCTCTATTCTAGGCTTAAGATATTCTTCTTCTAATTGTAAGTTAGCAGAACAATTGCTTTCATCAGAGTTTGCTGTAGATTCCTCTTCTTGTAAGCTTTTTTTAGCTTCTCTTCTTTTTGGACTTGATAAATTTTTCATTTCTTCACTCTCATTATTTGTATCACAATACACCTTGTTATATGATGTATTAGCATATACTGGCTTATCTTCAAAATGTATTTCATCTTTTTCTTTTATATAATCTTCTTTTTCAATGTCGATAGATGAATTTTCTAGTCCATCATTTTCCAGGAATTGTTGTTTTTCCAGCCATGTTTTCTTTGAAGATTGTTGAGGAACTTCTCTGTTTTCCATATGGACATCGTCTAGAATGTGATCAGACATCCTTTGTAGCTGTGTATCTTTTAATCTCTCAATGACAGACTCTTCCCTCATTTCTAAAGCATCATGCTCTGAATGAACAATATCATTAAAAGATTTACTAAATTTGGTATACTTAGATAAATCAGTTTGAAAACTATTGGTTTTATATTCTATGGAAGAATCTCCATTTGTATCTATTTTTTCATCGGAATCAAATTCAGAGTCACTATCATAAACATCTTTGTTTCTATAATGTTGTAATACTCTTAATTTGCTCTTGTGCTTCTGAAACATTAGGTCCTTTACTAAACTTGCATTTAATTCTTCTTCTTCTTCTTCATCGCTATAATGGATATTTGCCTTTTTCATCATATCATCCAAAGTGTCAGAGATATCGTCTGTGCTGCTAATTAATCTATAACAAAAGCAACAAAATAATTGCAGTATAAAGATAGAGTTATTATATCATTAATTATACGATAGAGATACACTGAAGATAAAAGAATCTAATTACATAATATTGCATTATGATTTCTTAGAAAACTGTACATATTTTCTTACTACATATACCTCTTATATAATTCTCTAGATTTCTGTGCAGTATCTGTGACATAAGATTTCATATGATATTTATTAGTATTGTCATTCTCTCCATCATCAGATGAATGATCAAATTCAATGTTCAATTCTTTTCGCAGATTTTGGTTTTTTACTTTGCTAAATAATTTTCGTAATTTGCCACTTTCGTTTTTATCGTTATTGGGATCATTTCTCTCTAACATTTCTTTATAGTCCATTGTGGTTTTTTCATTATGTGCTCTCATTTCTGGATCATTAGATTTAAATCTTAAATCGTCCATAGAATGCGCGTTTTTACGCATATGTGGTGATTTTTGCAATCGAAACTTTCGTATTTGTTGTAGGCTTGCCATTGTTTCCGATTTCAATCTATCCACTGAATGATTCGTATTATTTGTCACCTGAATCACTTTTTCATCTTCATTAGACTCCAATGCATCAAGTAATGGCTACAATTATATCACATTTGTAAAACCTTTGTTAATTATTTTATGCCTAATTACATGTAAGTTACATGTATTTTATTCTCACCAAATTGTCCTTTGATATATCTGTTCCGCTTTTTTTACTCCTGCTAGATATTTTAACTGGATTGGAGGGGATGCTAAGATATACATAAAATATAATTTTTGTACCTGAGATTTGTAAAAGAATGACTACCTAGATTTTTCTCTTTATTATAAATTGGCAACTGACCATTATAATATAATCTCTTTTCTCTATTATCTAATAAATATTCTAAACTCTTCAATTTCTCTATTTTTTCCTGCAAGTTTTTCTGTGTCTCCTTGTGTTTAGAAATCTCTATATGTAATTGATGCTTCAAACTCTTAGTTTCAAGTGCAAGTTTTCTGTGTAAGAGCTGCAGAGATAATATTTTGTGAGTAATAATTTTATAATGTAATTAGAGTGTGTACTTTATTTCTGCTATCTATTACTATAAAATAAATATATTGACAGCTACCTGTATAGTTTCTTGTTGCTGTTGCATTTTATGATTCATGTCAGATAATTGCAACTGTAACTTTTCTCTCTCTTCAAGATTTCGATCTTTACTAAGTTGCAATAGATGCTTGTTTTGTGACTGCAAAATAATACTTTTAAAAATTTATGACAAATATTACATTACCTACATGTAAATATTATTATAATATATATATTACAATTATGTGTGGAACTCACATTTGCAGAATAAAGTTCATTTTCTTTTTCTTTCAACAAATTGCATGTGTCTTTATGTAACTCTTTTAATTTCTTATATTTTGTTTGAAGTATTCTCAATTCTTCGTGATGTGAATTTATAAGTCTTGGTAACTCAGCATTTGTACCTTCATAACGCCTTAATGCAGAATCTTGTCTTTTCTGCAATGCCTTTAATAATCTGTTTTCGTTTGCTAATTCCTATAAGAGGAAATTATTTTTGTATTAAATATATAAATACTTCCAGTATTAAATATATAAAGCATATTGGCATATCTTTCAAAACTTACGTTGAGATGATAGTGTGCATCAGCTAATTGATTTTGTAACTGCTTGAAACGAAGCATTTTTGCTGACATTACTCTTTGTCCGAGAACACTTTTATCACTAGATTTTGGTTCATCCGACAATGATTGTTGTTTAATACTACCTTTATATGGCGCACCTATATATATAATATATATATATATATATATGTATAAATATATGTACAACGTAATAAAGTATTATTGTACATAATAATTAATATATTTTAATATGCTTTTATACAAACCAAGTAGAGGATTCAAGCATTTTTTGTTTGATGGAAATAATGTTTTTTTGCAAGGAGATAGCTTTTTGGATTCTAGTGTTGAGTTTTTTATATCAAGCTTTGGATTTCTGCAATTGCATATTTAATAGATAAAATACATTAATTTAAAATAAAGTACTAAAGTTTATAACAATTCTCTCCTTTTTTTCTTTTTATTATTACAAAATTATAATTTGTATTGTATAACATAATATTATTTGAATACTAAAGGGGGGAGAAAATAGATGATAATAATATATATATATATAAACTTTAAATATATAAATTAAAGATATATCTATGAAAAGCGTTCTGAATAAATTTTAACTAGGAATATACATTTTATTTGTGTATTATCTGAATAGCTTTTAGTATCTATAATAAGGAATGCAATTTATAAATATATCATAGACAGTAGATGTATTCTCAAAATTTTATTTACCTATTGACTGTTCTATGCACATTAAGCTGTACAACCGGTAAGATAGATGTTTCAGTTTGCATTTTATATTTATACACAGCACATTACGACTCACATTGTAATTGCATGTTATTTTTTACAACTTTACCAAGTTGTTAGTTGTCACAGAACTGTCAGATACTCTTTGTGGGCTATGTTGTCGACGTCCATAATTGTTTTGAATGGTTGTCAAGGCAACATCTGTGTAAGCATTAGTGACTAGTGACAGTGATATAATGATTAATTTCTTTGGTATTTAGAATATATTTAAGATATTTTTACTTATTAACTATTATAATCTTAATTGAATCTAATGTATGTATACAATTTTATATATTAGATATCTCTTAATTATATTCTCCTTCATTCTAAATGAATAACTTATATATAGTTCTCTATATAACAATTTTTTGGATGTATCAGATAATATTCCTCAATTTAAATAATTATTTTATATATATCTAATTAGCGTTCAATGTTCTAAATAGAAATTATTCAAAAAATACTTTGTATTGCACTTTTAATCCATCAAAATATTTTTAATAGAATATTGTTTTTAATCGATTAAAATATTCATCAAAGGATATGTAACAAAGTGTATTAAAAAAATGGTTATTTGTAACAAACTGATTATATTACACGCTTAACAGTTTTGTTTATTATTATTTAACATTATTTATAATGTATACATTGACTTTATAATAAATAATAGTCATCTCTCTTTATAATTATATTGGTATGTACAGCATTGTGTTTGTGTAATATTTTCTGATTTGTAAAATGACTTTGTACTTATACTTATATCTTATACTTGCTAAATTTTAATTATGAAATATTCCAAGAGCAGTTATTTCTTAAAACTAAGACTCCTCACTTATATATATTATATAACACTAGTACTTTTTTATCTACATTACATTATCTTTAATTACATTGTTCAGCTTTATTTCTTTCTTCTTGTTCTTGCGGTTTCTTCATACCTAAATGTTGAGTTTCCCACAATTTGCTATACAGAGAATTTGGTATAGATAACAAAGATTCATGAGTGCCTCTTTCGACTAGATTACCCTGATCTAAAACGAGTATATCATCGGCATCCATGACTGTCAATAAACGATGCGCAATTACGATTGAGGTCCGTTTTTCTGTCGCTTTGCGCAAGGCGTCGAGTATGTTCTATTATAAATAGAATATTTATTTAGAGAAATATATAATCGATTTTTATAGTAACGTGAAAAAATATATTTTTGAATTTACATGTTCTGTAATAGAATCCAATGAAGAGGTAGCTTCATCAAAGATTAGTATAGGGCTGTCTTTCAAAATTGCTCTAGCGATTGCAACTCTTTGCTTTTCTCCTCCACTTAGTTTCAAACCGCGTTCTCCCACGGGTGTATCGTATCCTTGCGGCCATTTTAATATAGAGTCATGTAGATTTGCCATTTTTGCAGCTTCGAAAACATCGTCGCGCGATTTTTTCAAATTACCATAGTGTAAATTATAAAATATACTTTCATGAAAAAGTACTGTGTCCTAAAATTTGTAACAAATTATAAAAAGAGTATTACTAGAGAGTATTTGTATATAAAATATAATCAGCTTAAACCATCAAAAGAGAAAAAAGACGATATATTGATCTTACTTGTGGCACAATCGAAATGCAGTCCCTGAGATCCTCTAAATTGACATCTCGAATATTGTGACCATTGATATAAATATCGCCACTCTGTGGTTCAAAAAATCTATACAGCAATCTTACAATTGTTGTCTTACTAAAAAGATAAAGAATCGCATGGAGTAATCGTGTTATCGATAATCGTTATCTATCAAATATTTATTAAACTTTCTAATTATCATCTATAATTTACATTAAACAATTTATATAGCTAATATCTTACCCACAACCAGATCCTCCAACAATAGCAACCTTTTTGCCACTTGGAATAGTAAATGAGACATCTTTAAAAATAGATTTTCCTTCAACATATTGGAAATTTACATTTTTAAATTGAATTTCCGATGAATCTGGCGTCACATAAAATCTCAGTGCATTTTCTTTTGACTGTTAATAAATAAAATGAAAATGATGTAAAATTATTTGTGAGACATAGATTATATACAGAATATTTCATAAATGTGAAGATAAATGAGGTATTATAATACTGTGCATTTAAATAATAATCTTACTTTAATTGCAGTATCTGTTGTCATGAGAGTAAACATAGTTTGCATATCGATAAAAGCTTGTCTCACTTCTCGGTAAACAGAACCTAAAAAGCCTAAAGGAACTGAGAGTTGAAACAACAAGGCGTTCACCATCACCAAATCACCAACAGTCATAGTACCTAAACATTAAAAAAATACAAATGCATTAGTTTTTCTATGAGAATAGAGAGTTCTAATATTTTCTGATTAGTCTACTGTCTTTTATTCTAGTAGTAGCTGTAAATAATATGTTTACCATTTACTATATTTTGTGCTGCCAATACCATGATGAGACTTAACGCACCACTGAAAATAGCGTTTTGTCCGAAATTTAACATCGCTAAGCTTGTACTAGTTTTGAGAGACGCCGCTTCGTATTTCTTCAAAGATTGATCGTATCTCTCTGCTTCAAACTTCTCGTTATTAAAATACTAAGGCAAAAAAAGTATGTTTCAACATTTTTTTTTTCGATCTCTTTAAAACGAATTAAACGGAACTTACGCTTCATTACTGACTTTTACTGTTTCGTAATTGATGAGTGAATCTACTGCCTTATTGCCCGCTTCGTTCTCCGCTTGATTCATATGAATCCTGAACTTGGTACGCCATTGCGTAACAGCCAGCGTGAATGCAGCGTAAACGCTCACACAACCCAGCGCTACGGCTGAATATTCTGGCCCGCATTTTATACCCAGTATTGCACTTACTAATGTTAATTCAAATATTGTTGGTATTATGTTAAATACCATAGCGTTTAAAATGAAATTAATACCGCGGCTGCCGCGATCGATTGTCTGTGAAAAAGATATAAATGTTTTTCAAACCTTAATATATAACATTTTTTAAATTTCGAATGTTCGTGACTAGAAAATGATATATGTGCTAAGTCAAATATTACCTTCGATAAAGCGCCAGTCTGCCTGCTCAAATGAAAAGACATATCAAGATTGTGTAGATGTATAAAAACATTTTTCCCTATTTTACGAATAGAATGTTGTGCAACCTTTGCGAAAACCGCATTTCTGAGTTCACTGAAACCTGCAGCTCCAAGTCGTGCTATTCCATCTGCAAAGAATGTTAATCTGGAATTATGTATAACTGTTTAAAAAAATCTTCCATATATTGAAATATTAAAATATTCAAAAAATATGAAACATCTCTTACATCCTACGAGTAGCGATGTTGCTACAGTCGCGACTGTCGCAGGTGCGGTTGTTAAATCCATTACAGCACTACCATTGATCACTGCAGTATGGGTATTTAAAACGTCCACAGCATACTTAAAAATAAATGGTACAAAAACATTCAGGACCTTAGCTCCAACAAGTAAACCCACTGCTATTTTAACTCTTTGCCGTATTTCTGGATCATCCTACAAAGATATGTAATAAATATGTTGTACATATTCCACAAATCATAAATTATTACTCACTTCTGGCCAAATGTATCTGAGCATGGCCTTCAACATATCCACGCTGGTGATAGATTGTTTATTTTGTAAATCGAACGCATCTCTATCCAAACCAGAAACGCCGGGATGAAAACAATTTCTTTTTTGCTGCCCAGGCTTTGCTCCAGTTAACCCAGTAACAACCGATGTAAATTTCACTGGTGGCACGACAGATTTAGATTGCGGCACGTTCTTTTTCTTCTGAGCACGGTCGATTACATTGCCACTGCAACACTATAATAAAAAAGCAAGGTTTAATTTTTATCTCTATCAATATATCCTACAAAAAATATAATAAATATGTATTTTTACAAAAATATATGTACTATATATATGTATATATATAGCACATAAATAGATGATTTATTTAATTAGCTTTGATCAAGATTTAAAAACAAAATTGAAATGTAAAAGACTATGTGAAAATCATGCCACTTTTATTTTGCACAATAAGATATATCATATATGGTAAACTATAATTTAAATTATAAATTATATAAAATATATGTATATATATATGTTAAAAAATTTACTTCGAGAAAGAGTTACAGTTTTAAAATAGCTCTAAATACAGAAATATATACTCGTGTCGGTAATTGATAGTAAAAGGAAAATTAAAAACTAAATACTTTTGATTACTATTTATTACTCTTTTCCTCTATTATCACATAATATTTTATAAAAATATAAAATATCTTAAATGTATGTAATAAAATTAGATATATGTATAAAAAAAGAATTTTTTAAATATATATTCTATATTTTATATTGTGTTGTACAAACTAAACAATATTACATAGATAATGTTAAGATTGCTGTAAATTATGATTTCCTGGATGTACAGCTTTTTCTGTTTCTTTTATATAATTAAATGCCGTATTTAAGATATTAATATATTCATCTACAAGATCTATTGCAATGGAAAAACTTCGACTTTTAGATTTTAAATTCCTCATTTTACTTAAAGCACATATATATTCCGTTTTTTTCAAATATAAAATACTTATTCCTAGCTTATTAATGAAAAACAATTCATGTGAATCAAATGTTTCATTGTATATCTTCATTTTCCAACAATCCTTTTCTAATTTTGTGCCCAGTATAAATAGTGTTATGGTCGCATTATAATTAAAACCATCGCGTGTAAACGACATATTCTTATGGAAATTATTGAATGTAATAAAATCTAATTTGTTTTTTGGAATATCAAAACATCTTTGTATTTCCAAGATATCAAAATGGATTTCGTCTAGTGGATTGTATGGAATGAAAAATCCGTAATCGATATATAATTTAAGATTGTTATGTGCTCCATAATTGATAAAAACTTGTGATTCTTTATCAAACGATTTCAAAGTAATAATTTGATAAAACTGATTTTGATAATCATCTGTAATAATAGATACTTTGACAGTAGTATTGATATCATGATTAAATAAATCTAGAAACGGCGCCAAAGCCAGGTTATTAGGTTGTTTTATGTTAAATATATTTTTTTCGCGCAATAATTTAGTATCTATGTATACCGCTCTTGTATTAACAACATAGTATGCCCATTTATATCTTGTGAATGTTATTATTTCTTGTAGAGGTAAATTGCAATGAGAACAATAGCTTTTATTAGTAATATCCAAATGTTTCACAGCTTTCATTAGTAAAGAAAAATTACTTTTCAATTTATGCATTTGATGTAAAGAATCTAAAATAAAACTTGGCAGCATTTTTTTCTCTTTATTGGAACAAAAATCTGGATTTGTAAATGATTGTGGCAGAGTTTTCAGGTAAAGGTACCATTTTGATTTTATTCCTAAATGTACTTCATATATAAGAAATGTTGCAAGCATACATTGGGGACTAAAACTATCAGTAATATTATTTAGAAATAAAAATCTAATATTACTCTGCAATAACACATCTGTTGTTATTAACATTCGAAATGGTAATTGAATCAATACTTCATTACTCTCTATGTTTTTTAATGTTTTTAAGCCTCTGCCTGTGAAAGGAAAATATTCTGGTATCAAATGACGAATCGATAAGCAGTTTTCATTTAGAAGCCAGGATTTTAAAGATATTAATGGTTCTTCAATATTCTCATTCAATTTTATAAAGTTGAGCTTCTTCTTCTGGCGACGTTTTCTCAATGTTCGCCCCATTGCAGATATATAGATATTTTATCTATAGAAGCTGTAACAATAATCTTTTATTGTATGCTAAAGAATTTACATATATAATAAATCTTTAAATCAATCATAATAAAATGATTTGTCATATCATATTACTTCTTTACATGATAATTTGCACATAATATACAAAAAATCTCGGAACTAATCGTATAATTGTACAAAATAATCACACAACACATGTGTCTCTACATTTATTAAAAATTGTTAGAGTAAATATTAAAGAACGTAAATATTAAAAAATATCGCAACCAGAGATAATTAAGACAAAAATGTATAAATTCCTTATATATATATTGTATGTGCGTTTACATAATTACGTGATTAATGACTGAGCGTCACGATAATAAAATGCAATATTAGTAAGTACATAATTGTTGGTTATATTACCCTAACACTAAGAGGCGAAAATGTTGAATTATATCCAGCAACGTAGAATTTATTAGATAATATTGATCGTGTTGCAATACTGGTGCAATACATTTTTCTCATCATGTTCCACAGCTTTTCATCGCACGGTGCCTTGCGTAGCAAATGACCACACAATACGCTTATCATCTTTCTTCTACGATTTCTTCTCACAACACATCGAGAATATTAAATAAATATTAAAAAATAAATATCATTACCGAAATTAATATCGCAGCGATCATATAACCGTGATCAGCTGTGATAAACGTAACCATGATCAGCCATAAAACACGCGGTACATATGTGATCTGTGCATGGTGTTTGCACTTTTTACACTCAGATTCTTCGTTTCTTCCATGGACGTAAGAAATTTTAGGCATAACCGCAAGACCGTAAGCAAATCAACCAATCATAAACATTCTTATTACGTTTATTGTTAGAATGCTTGATTGTAATTGGTCGATTTGCTTAGTTAGTTCCGAAATTCACTACCAGTACTGGAAATCTATAATATACGTTACGTGAACTATAGATTTCCAGTACTAGCAGCGAATTTCGGGACACGGTCATAGAAAGTATCTTTCCGAACTCGATTTAAACGAATGTTAAACTTTAAACTACATACGTGTACACCTAGCGTGTACCTATTTCTATTATTTAATTTAAATTGCATCCTTCAAGAATAATTGGTGAGTCTTAACGAATAAGATTAAAAATCTGTTAATTTTATTTATACATGATGATTATATTCCACTGTGTCTTAACTTTTATACGTACGTATATACGATGTGAATAAAAAGTACTTGACCTATTTTTGCATTACAAGCATGTTGCATACACTTCAATTTTTTTCTTATCAAATACATGTATCATTTAACTTTCATTTTTTTAGATCTCGCTGTGATAATACAAAACGTGCAATTTAAGGGATGCATAATAAAGCAAACTAATTTCATGTTCGATAATTATATAAAAAATTTAAGGACATTTCATAAATTGAATATTAATGCTAAAGTTTTTTGTGGTAGAGGAAACAAGGACATTTAAAAGTTTAAATGTACATTTTAAACATAAAAAATAATCTCACAAATACTGTGATAATGTGAGATTCAATTGTATGAGAAATTTTTTGAAAGTTAGGTCAGAAGAGAAAGTTTTGATGACACACTTGTTATATTAATCTATAAGCATGTAGTTTCTCAGCTATACTATTTATATTCTTTGTACTGTGATCTTGATCAAGTTCTATATTTTCATTCTATTTTTAATTTACTTTTAACAAAAATTTTATCATCCAACTGCTCTGTTGAAATAATATTATACTTCTGTTAAAATCCTGAATCATAATTTTGGAAAAAATTTATTGATGGAATAATGAATTTTTACAGATTATTTATACTATAGGAAATTAGTAGTTTTTCTTAAATAAAATTAAGAGACAATGTCTGCACATACAACTATATTCAAAATTTGGAGAAGCATTCCTGTGACTACATTTCTGTGGAAGTCAAGGATTTTTCAAATCCAGAGAACAATTTATACTTCAACGCAAAATAAATTTTATTTTAATAATGTTAACCAAGCTGAAAACAAAGTGGCAGTAAATCAGAAAACAGACTGGAATAAAACTATGTCGGAGGCAGAAAAAATTGTTGGATATCCAACGTCTTTCTTAAGTTTAAGATGGCTATTGAGCGATGAAATTGCAAATGTTGCATTGCATTTAAGGAAGTTGGTTGGATCTAATCATCCCTTGTTGAAAACAGCTAAGTGAGTATCATGATACAATGCTTCTCTAAGAATAAAGATATCATCTATATTTTTCCAACTTTTTCAGAGGTATTATCTATAATGGACGTAACACACAAGCATTTGGTCTCATCGTGTTGCTAATCTCTAAAGCTGCCGGCCATTTGAATGCAAAACCAGTAGAAGAAGATAAAGCTGCAGGTGTATTACATAGGTATAATAATTTAGTATTTTACATAGTATTTTATAAGTATTACACAAGTATAATAATTTTAACGCTGCTGATTATGAACATATATAATGTATATTACTATAACTTTTTACAAAAAAAAGAAATATATTAATCTAAAATATGTAAATATATTTCAGCCAAAGGGCATTAGCAGAAGTTACAGAGATGATACGCATTAGCAATTTGATACATAGAGGACTGGTAAATATAAATACAGATGGTACTTTATCTGTGGAATCCTCAGAATTGAACAATATGATCTTTGGCAATAAAATAGCATTGTTATGTGGTGATTACTTACTTAGTAATAGTTGTGCTGAATTAGCATCTCTTAGAAATCAGGATGTAAGTATATATATTTATTATTTTTCTTGCTTATGTAGATTTTTTGTTGAAAAAATTAATTATAAGAAAAAAAAACAGAGAGAAGAAAGTTTAACTTTTTACCTTTTTATAATTTAAGATATACATATAGCTAAAAAAAGATTGTTTTTTTTAGCTTGTATTCTTAATATCATCTGCAGTAAGAGATTTATGTCAAGCAGAATTTGTAGCATGTAGAGACAACCAAAATTTTCCCATACCATCAATACCACCCGAAGATCGTACGGATTATGCGCTTAAAGAATGGACACTTTTAAATGTTTATGGCGCTGGATCATTGCTCGGAAAAAGCTGTCAAGGCACATTGAAGTTAGCTGGACATAGCAAAGAAATACAAGTGGAAGGTTACAAGTTTGGCGAGCATCTAGCTTTAGCTTGGCAGGTAATATTATTTGAGAAAATATGCATTAAATGTTTGCATTTTGTTAATAATTTTGTAAGTTTTAATAATAATTTAAAAATGTAATGCAATAATATTTTTATAGGCCTCCTTGGACTTAGGTTTATGCATCAATAAAGACAAAGAAATCTTGCATAATTTATGCGCAGCTCCAATTATGTTTCATGTCGAACATGATCCATCAATTTTAACTGAGCTTTACAAGGGAATAGAATCAATTGAAAATGTCGACTATTTAAAGGTAAAATTATAATATAATTTGTGTGTATAATTAAACTAATTTCTAGAATTATAACTCTAGTTTTCTAGAATTATATTTAATGCACCAATATTGAAAGAGAGAGATATAAATAATATTTTGTGTGTATAGGTACTTGAGATTGTTGCAGATGGTCCAGGTATTGGATTAACCAAAGAACTCATAAAGGAACATTCGCAAAAAGCTATGGAAGTCTTAAATGTATTTAAAGAAAGTGATGCAAGAAAGGCTTTATCTAATATTATTGTTGCAATAGGTGATCTTTAATTAAAAATAATATTAATATAACATAATTTATTGTTTGTTTTATATATTCTAAACAAAATTATATAAAGAAGAAATTTAAGCTAGAGTTTATAAAGAGAATCTTTATGAAACAAGTTTATTAAATTCTATTACATATATTTTATTGAAATAGTTATATTAATATATAAATATAGAATATTATAGATATATTTTTATATGCAAATTAAATATCTTGATAAGAAAATGTTATCTTTTTATCAAGATTGTTTTGATATCTTGTATTTTTTAGATATATATATTATACAGTTTTGTACTGATCACAATATATTGTAAAAATATAGATATTTAATTAAATTATTTTTTTATAAATGTTTGTGTGTGAAATGTGTAAATTAAAATAAGAAATCTTTCAATTACGGGTGCACTCTGTTTGATGCTACAAAAGTTTCAAAGCATTTGATTGGTCAATTGGAGCAAAAAATTTGTTGCTTTTTTCATCATTTTATTGATAGATCAATAAAATGATTCAAAACTTTTCTAGCATCACATAAACACATGTCACATTTCCTTCTATATTCCTTTTATATTTCTTTATATTTCTTATATATATATG